GAGCGCGTTTGTTGTCTTGCCAGACAGACCCTAAATTTACAAAGGAAGAAAAATAGGAGAAGGTTAAATATCATGGAATGGAGTGTCTTTTGAAGCTGTCAGTTCTTCACAAAGTAGATGTGTTATCAAATAATTTAGGAGAAAGACCTTAATGGAACGTCATGTTTATTCATAAGGAGGTTAACCCAGCGACATAGGCAGGGACCATAAGTTTTACTGGGTGTTACCAAAGCTGCTGTCATGGACAGACAGCTAAGGAGCTCCTTTTTTTTACTGAAGTTTCAGGATCATGTGGTAATTATGCATAGTCTTGTATCACTGTGGACCCTGCTAGCAGATGAGAAACAATAACGGTGAGTTATGTGTCTGGATAGAAGTTATCCAAGTTCATTATCTTCTGTGAGGCTCATAACAAAAGTGATTTAGCACTATTAAAAGAAATTTTAATTATGGTCTGTGGGCTGAGACTAAAAATTTAGAGCTGTTCATTCCCTTTAATCTAGAGTATATCTTTCACTGATAAAGGAGACTGACACAAATTTTAAAAGTTAAATCTTGCTGAGTCTACACTTCCAGTTAGTGAAGCTGCTGCGGTTCTGACGCACACTTACGTGCACCACGTTTGTGGTGCTTTCCATTTGCTTGTGTAGCCACTAATACCTGCAGAGCCGTTGAAGGACCTGCACGTTCCAACCAAGTTTGTAATGACAGAGTGGCTAATGTGTCTCATTATGCTTCCAGAAATATGAGTAGACCTTGTCTCCTCCCAAAGACCGCTCTCTCTATTGCACTTGTTGCTGGTTATCCTGTCGTTCAGGCTGAGGACTCAAAGGAAGTAGGATATACTACTAGTCACATCTTTTCTATTAACCTCATGCTGTTAACTGAAAAAATTGAGGTGCTTTAGCTGTGTTAAATGAATGGATGTCTTCTGCTCAGGTAGTCCTTCGATCTTTCTTGATCTCATATGCAAATTCAAGAAACTCAAATGTTACTCTTATTTTTATTTTCCAAGTATGTCTTTGATTTCCAGCTGTCAAATCCCATATTCTCCCCCTTTTTATTTAAAGGTGACTTTATTCTTTATTTCATATTAGACAGTCACTCATCCTGTTGTCTCGGTACAGCAAATTTATCAGGCACACCAGAAGCTTTCTGTATCTCTGCTGTTTTTCTCCTCCTTGCTCATCCCAGACTACTGGTGGGCCACCTTCCTGGCGTATGAATAGTTCTGGGGGCATATGGATCATTTGTTATCTTACTTCTCAATCAGAAGCAGAAGTCAGTCGTCGTGCAACTTCAGATGAGGAGGGTGTTATTAGGCTGGAATGTGGGTCTGGTTTTCCAATTCTGAAACCATTCTGCTGGTTTTCCAATCTCTGAATAATTACAGAGCGTAGTAATTTCAGCGTAGCTGAAAGTAGGCGATCACATAACTGGATGCAAAGATTTCTGTGCCCCAAATTCTCCCCTTTATTTTTCACCAAAATGAATAGGATTTTCCCCAGAATCACTCTCTGAAATTCTTAGAATGAAGCAAAGTATTGTTCCATACTTAGAACACTACAACCAGAAAAAAAAAAATCTGGTAAATATTCAGCCTGTTATTGAGTTTTGCATGATTTTTCTTGTATTTTACTATATTTTAGAATTATTCTGGAGAACCCCAGCTTTAAGGATGTGACGGTCAGTTCTGATGGAGTAATGAACAGTGCTCAGATTTGACATATTAGTCCTTCTCTGTTCCTACCCACTTTAGTGAAGAAGGTGTATTATGTCCCAATGAAAATGCTGTAAGCTTCCCCACGTTTACTACAGTGCAATAATGTGCATGGTCTCACTTAATTTTGGATAATTTGCTCATCACCAGACACTACACTGGTTGTTGGCCCGTTTTAGTTTTTTTTTCTCAATGATCGTTAAACACCCAAAATTATCATTTTTTTATATGTGATCATATCTATAAAATTAAAGCCAAGAATTTATTGTTAGTATGATAGAAATTTTAACTGTCTAATTTAAGAATCCTCATCAGTCTAGGTCTAATTATTACAGAAAAAGGAAGAATAATAATGCATTTTGACTACTTACAGACCGAAAAATTCCCAATAATAATACAATTAAAATTGTAAGATGTGCTTCTTGGTTTCTATCTGTTTTGCTGGTATTATGCTCACCCTTTCACTGCTCCTTTGGGTTCTAAGGTCAGTGCTTTCCCTCTGGTATTGTCATTGGGGAGGGATGTTACAGCAAGTTATCAAAATCTGAGCCCTTTGCTGGGAAGATATTCATGTTGACAGTTTCTTCTTTCTCCTCCCAGGATCCTCTTGGGGTCATTTGGATGTGTTTGATAACACGTTTACACCTTTCTCTTTCTTCATTGGTCTTCAACTCCAGGTTATATATGAATTCATAGAATCATTTAGATTGGAAAAGAACTTGAAGATCATTGAGTCCAACCATTAACCCAACACTGCCAAGTCCACCACTAAACCATGTCCCTCAGCACCACGTCTACACGTCTTTTAAATACTTCCAGAGATGGTGACTCCACCACTTTCCTGGGCAACCTGTTCCAATGCCTGACAACTCTTTCAGTGAAGAAATGTTTCCTAATATCCAATCTAAACCTTCCCTGGCACAACTTGAGGCCATTTCCTCTCATCCTGTTGCTTGTTACTTGGGAGAAGAGACTGACCTCTACCTCGCTACAACCTTCTTTCAAGTGGTTGTAGAGAGCAATAAGGTCTCCCCTCAGCCTGCTTTTCTCCAGGCTAAACAACCCCAGTTCCCTCAGCTGCTCCTATAACACTTGTGCTCTAGACCCTTCACCAGCTCCATTGCCCTTCTTCGGACACACTCCAACACCTCAGTGTCTGTGTTGTAGTGAGGGACCCAAAACTCAACACAGGATTCGAGGTGTGGTCTCACCAGTGCTCAGTGCAGGGGGACAATCACTGCCCCAGTCCTGCTGGCCACACTATTTCTGATACATGAATTCATTATATATGGTGCCCTTTATGTATGTTAGATGCTATTTCTTCTTGTTGCCCCTAAAACCAGCTTTGTTCTGCCCCAGATCTTTGTCTTTTTAACTGGCATTGTGAGGTGTGTAGTGTCACAGCTGTTCCCTATCTATCATCCCATGCCTATAGGTCCTCTGCATTGTGTCCTGTGTTTCCTTCTCAAGGTCTTTGCTATCATGCCAGGCCTGTATTTATCTAGACTCTGTTACTATGTTGAGTCATAAACACCTCGTTCTACCTGGAACAACTGCTTGTTACTGCTATCAGCATAAAACCATGGTTGTACCTTCCAAAGATAAACAAAACAAAAACAATTGGATATAGATACCTGATCAACAAGAAAAATTGCTGTCACAGCTGAACCAAGTAAAACAGAGTTACAGCCAAGTCGAGAAAAGTTCAGAGTGAGCAGGGCAAGCCTCAGTCCTCAGGTCTTGGAAACACAGAACAAATCTTATGGACTGTTAACAGCAACGGCAATACCATATTGCAGGGCTACATGATTGCGATATTCTGGTTTGTGTGTAGATAGAGTGAGAGGGAGAGAGAAAAGACTTTTCAAAGTGTGTGTTGGTACAAAGGAATCATAGAATGGTTTGGGTTGGAAGGGACCTTGAAGATTGTCTTGTTACAATGTCCCTGCTGTGGGCAGGGACACCTTCCAATAGATCAGGTTGCTCAAAGCCCCATCCAACCTGGCCTTGAACACTTCCAGGGATGGGGCAGCCACAACTCCCCTGGGCAACCTGTGCCAGTGCCTCACCACCCTCTGAGTGAAGAATTTCTTCCTTAGATCTAATCTAAATCTGCCCTCTTTCAGTTGAAATCCATTGCCCCTTGTCCTATCACTACATGCCCTTGTCAAAAGCCCCTCTTCAGCTTTCTTGTAGCTCCATTAGGTACTGGAAGGCTGCCAGATCACCCCAGAGCCTTCTCTTCTCCAGGCTGAACAAGCCCAACTCTCTCAGCCTGTCTCCAGAGCAGAGGTGCTCCAGCCCTCAGATCATCTTTGTGGCCCTCCTCTGGACCCGCTCCAGCAGCTCCATGTCCGCTCTCAAGGAGGGCTATTGGAAATTCAAGTTTGGTACCATTACCTGCATCACTTAGTAAAACACTGTCTTTAAGTCCCAGCATGCAGACAGGTCTCCTTTTTAAGATCTAAACGACATGATTATAGGTGTTTGCAGTCTTCAGCTTTCAATTAGTGCCAACCAGAGCCGTTGTCCTTCCAGTGGAGTTGGTGCAAGACGTGTACGTGTTTCCTAGTCTGCTATTCTACGAGTCCTTTTCAAGATAGCTTGTTGGTGGTGAAAATGGTTGAAGTTAAGACGACTGACCATAGTGTAACAGAGGAAGAATGTGCACGTCATATCTCTGCTGGGGAGTTGTGATTATACCCAGTTTTAGGAGGGGGTAGCATTGCAAGCTGCTTCAGCAGAATAAATGTGCCTGTATCTCGATGAAGTTGCACACTTTCACTTAGGAAAATATACCAGCTGAGGAGAAAATTGACATTTTCTTCATAGTGGAAAGCCAGGGGCCAAAGCAGTGGTGCAGATAAGTTGTGTGTCAGCAAAATAATGTGAGTCAGTGACATGGACATTTAGGATAACTAGATCCTGATGGAATAGAAAGGCTGGAAAAGAAGAAAAAGCCATTAACTAGTAGGTATGAGAAGCATGATACTTGAAATCACTGTGGAATGTGACTAAAGGATTCTTTCAAAAGTGTGGTTAGAATGAAGTTATGCTACTTATATATAATGTTTTCCACATGTAGCTTTGGGGCACTCACCTTGAACTTGCCTAATTTGTAAAGTTGGATGCTGGATCTTGAGACCTGCAGATTGGATACAGATTTCCAGTACTACTTTCCCAGTAATTTGTGATAAATACAGAGTTGTCCTAAACTCAGCTACAAGCTCCATAGGCACTCAGTTTCAGGAACAAAACATTTCTCTGCTTAATTTTAAAGGGTGTGCGTAGCTTGAAAAATACCTACTTTAAACCCAGATATATCCTGTTAGTACCAAGGAACAAAGAAAAATATGAGGGACATCTGCGGAGGAAAGGATTATTCAGCAGGCCAGAGATTGAAGAGGCAGTCTCCAGGGTGGACATGTACATCAAAATAAGTGAGGATTTTCCAGGATACTTTGATGCGGTGGTCGACACAGGTAAGTTAATCTCTTTCGTACTATAAATGTGAATTCTAATGTCACACCAATAGATGGACTGAAAGTGCTACGCAAACAAAGCCACTGGCAAATATTAAACTAGGGATGATAAATGGTTTCATGTTCAGCATAAGAGTTTAAACTATCCTCTTAATTGATTTTCTCAGTTAATTCTTGTCCCAGGAATCCAAAAGCTCTCAAGATCTGTCGGGACTGAATTACTCTGCGATGTCCGAGTTGTGCTTTAAGAAAGTGAACCAACTGTTGAACCCAGCAGCACACTTGTTAAGTGTTGTCTCCAATGAGAGTGTTAAACTGATCTGTGCTAATTGTCTGTTGGTTTCTGAGCAGAGTTCAGAGGTGCTTTTGATCAAACAGACCAAATTATCTCTGGGCAGGAGAGGCTGCTGCAAAGCTTTTCCTCGTAGGACTGTTCTGCTTAGTAACTTACTCAAGTCCCCCAGCCTGAAACAAGGAATGTGAGGGTGGTAGATATTTCATTAAAACAGATGTTTGCTTCTTGATATTTAGGAACTGAGGATAGCAGGTGGTAGAGAAGATTCTTTTTCTAGTTGATACTGCGTCTGCCTTTTTGTGGTGGTGATTTTTGTGGTTCACCACAGTGCTGGTGAAATATATCGTTGTGGATGAAATACTGGTTTTGTACTTATTGTCAAGGGCGTATGGAGCTTACAATTTAAATGTAGCATTAAAGGAATAAAGCACAGTAAACCAAATTGCAGAAGGAGAATATTTAGGTGAGCACAGAAACTGAGATGAATTTCAGATTGTTTTCTTGAATGTGCTCTTTATGAAGATTTTTCTCCCAAAGAGATGAGCTGAATGAGTTAAGATGCATTTCTGTGTCAAACTTCTGTGATTTTTAACTTCTTGCTGATGAAAGCTTGTTTTTTTCATTATGTATCCTTTCTCTCTGCCATGAAATGCATATCCCTTTCTGCAGATGACTTGGATGAGGCATTCACAGAGCTGAGTTTCCTGGTAAAGGCATACCTGGGTTTGGAGCCACCTCCAGTTTTTGATAGCATTCAGGACTTGAATAGCAGAGCAGGAGCAGGTACTGTGTCTGGGCACATGCTACTACTGTTTTTATCAGTAGAATATTCCTCCTTATTTGTTACAAGGATTGAAATCTGTGAATGATGCAACCTGTGAGACTGCTTGTTGCTGAAACCTCCATGTGCTTCTCTGTAATGAGTCTCCTGGGCTGATTCCTCCCTAGGATCTGAACCTTTAATGGAGATCTTCCCAGGTACTTTACATCACTGTGTGCCCTGAGGCAATAATATGCAGAAAGTGAGTTGCCTGACTCTTCTGGGGATGCTTTTGGGCTGAGGATCTCTCATTCATTCCAAATGAATCACGAGTGAGAGATGTGTCCATGGCTGAGAGGTTTGTGCCTACCAAAGTGCTGAGCATCAAGAAATGGCATGGCGCTGAGACTTTATTTTACTCTCTTGCCCAAGACAGCCAGAAGCATGAAGAGGTATATGAAAACCAGGATAGTAAGATGAGTGAAGGCAACTTACAAATCCACTCCAAGTGCTTTTGTGTCTACCTGCTGCGGGGTAAACTCAAATGATGGGTAGAATGTCTAACAGAAGCCTTTTAGCCCTTGAGTGGCTAAGGCTGGAGCCTCATGATCGCTTCCAGGTAACACAAGTGCATGCTGCTGCAAAAAGTGGTCATGCCCAATTTACCTCTCCTGCCTAGGCATTTCTAGTGTTCTCCTTGCTCTGATTCCTCTGATCGTGCAGTCGTGTAATCTGGACGAGGGAATGGTTCCATCCAAAAACTAACCTAGGAAAAAAAAAAATCAACTTTCAGACAGATCAATTCCTTGATCGAACTTGTCGTGCAGCTATCAAAATGGCTCAAGGAGGGAAGGGTGCAGGAGAAGAGCTTCATGGCTGCCCGTGGAGGAAGAAAGGAGGACTACTCTTGTCAGAGGCAGCATAACTAAGATTAGCTTAACAGATTGTGAGAACTCAGCTGCAACCCTTGAATTTATTCCAGACAGAGCAGGTTACCAGCTGGGATGAAAGTAGAATGTGATCTCTAAAATACTGGAGAAAAAGGACTAAGAAACCAACGTTAGGGCAGTAAAATGTTGCACAACGGGAACTAATAAGCTCAGTTATGTGAACTCTTTCCTCTAACTCCGAGAGCCTCCATGGTTTATGACTGTCTTGGTTAGAAGCATTACAACAGGAGGGTTAATGAGTTTCCTAAGTAACACAGAGCCAATATTCATGACCTTCTGTGTGGCTCAGAAAGCTGCAAATAAAAGTAGCTGAAGGGAAGGCAAAAATGTCTGAAAATGTTAATGAAGGAGAGTGTAAAATTCATCAGTTCATCATTTCAAGCAATTTTGTACCCTGAAAGAATTAATAAATACTGATTTCCCAGTGGACAAGAAAAAAGCTTTTGCACATACTGTGGCGTCTCACTGGTGCAGCAGCAAGGACCTTTCTGAAGAATCTTATTTAATCTTAAACTATGTAGATTTGATTTTAATTTCCAGAGCTTCCGCGTTTGTTTGAAGTGAGAAAGAAGATTTCTTTGTCATATTTACTCTAATATTGTTGCTTATTTGTCTTAAAAACACTGGAGACATTTTGTCCTGAGAGGCAACAAAACCCACCGAAGCCTAACTAGATTATCAGGAAAGAAGAAAAAGGGGAAGGATTCAAGATAAAAGATTTGTATATAGTCACGGTATTTTTGAAGATATATATGTGTGCATCTGAAGTTCCTTTAAAGGACTTTGTATTCCTCAGCAGTTCTGAGTTCTTTCAGTGAGTGACTTGTCACTGGTTACAGAAACTTCATTAATACTACTAGATTTTGGTAATTCTGCTGTTCATAAAGTAACTTTTAAATTTACTATGCCCCATTAAATTCATTTAGAGCTTCATTTATAGGTGCTTAAATAAATTTAACTATCCTGTTTCTAAAGATCATCTCTTCTTATAGACTGTGTGAAATAATTTATTTTCAAAAACTTGCCCCAAGGTTGTCTTTAATATGGACGTTTTTAGTAAGATAGTAGCAGGGGGAAGATTGGTTGTGTGAGATTATGATAGGTTGTTAATTCTTTTTTTAATGAAGTGCTGTGCAAGATCTTTTGCTCATGTATAGAGTAAAAATACTGGGAGAAAATAGATAAGTTCTTCTTTTTAAAAACTTTTTATAGCAGAAGTATAATGTATTTCAGAGCTGATAATGCTTAGTACTTGCATTAGCATCTTTCATCCATGGAACTCAGTACTTTACAACTATTAATTATGTCTCACAGCAGTCCTGCGGAGCATGTGTTACTACTTGTATTTTACAAATGAGGAAAGGGACGTTTATGCCAAAGACTGATTATTTGTGATGCTGGGCATCAGAAATCCCACTGAAGTTTTGGCAGTGTGAAGCTCTGCATCTCTGGAAGTTAGGCTCTACTGCTTACTCGATGTCCAAGTCAGTAGTTTGCTGTGTCTGAAACAGAACCCACTGATCTCACGTCTCATCTCCTCTGTTCTTAACACCAGATCTTCTGGCAGCTACAAACCAGCAGTATATAATGGGTAGGCTGAGAGTCATCTGATGACTACTGAATCTGTTTTATAAAGGCATATACTAAGAAAAATAACTGTATTTAGTATATGAACATGCATACGGATGGGATGTCTCCTTGCCTCTCACCCACTGCCTTTGTATGTGACTTCTTAGATTGTGAGCTCTTGTGCTTTGGTATGACACACAATGCGATCAAATTGTTCAAAAAATGTCCATCTGTACTAATATTTACAAGACTTTTTCTTTTACTTAATTTCATATTTAGATACCATTTTGTACACAGGATAAATCCCAGTTTACGGATTTTTTTTCAACTTTGAAAAAGTGTTTTTTGAAAAAGTGAGTTAGTTCCGTCTTCAGCTTTCTGGCTTGAGTTCATGTTTGATTCCAGCAGTGGCGCAAGTCTTTGGATTTCTGTTCACAGAAATTCAGACAAGTAACAGAAGAAAAGATACCCTGCTCCAACTCCCCATCACATTCCAAGAGCTCTAAGAAGGTTAAAACTTCTAAGCAGGCAGACTGTAATTAGTGTAGAGGTCATAACAGTGGTGCATATCAGAGCATCCATAACAAAATGAGCTCATTTACACGTGCTTAAGCACCTCTTCCTAGTCCATTAATGTAGGGATGTTCTTTTCAGATTTTTCATAACTTTCATAGAATCACAGAATGGTTTGGGTTGGAAGGGACCTCAAAGATCATCTAGTTCCAACCCCCCTGCCATGGACAGGGACACCCTCCACTACACCAGGTTGCCCAAAGCCTCATCCAACCTGGCCTTGAACCTGCGCCAGGGATGGGGCATCTACAACTTCTCTGGGCAACCTGTTCCAGTACCTCACCACCCTCAATGTAAAGAATTTCTTTCTTATATCTAACCTAAATCTGCCCTCTTTCAGTTTAAATCCGTTGCCCCTTGTCCTATCACTACACACCCTTGTAAAAAGTCCCTCTCCAGCTTTCCTGTAGGCCCCCTTTAGGTACTGGAAGGCTGCAATAAGATCACCTGGAGCCTTCTCTTCTCCAGGCTGAACAGCCCCAACTCTCTCAGCCTGTCTTCATAGCAGAGGTGCTCCAGCCCTCTGATCATCTTCGTGGCCTCCTCTGGACTCGTTCCAGCAGCTCCATGTCCTTCTTGTGTTGGGGACTCCCGAGCTGAACACAGTATTCCAGGGAGGGTCTCACGAGAGCTGAGTAGAGGGGCAGAATCACTTCCCTCGACCTGCTGGCCACGCTCCTTTTGATGCAGCCCAGGACACGGTTGGCTTTCTGGGCTGCCAGCGCACATTGCCGGCTCATGTTGAGCTTCTCATCCACCAGCACCCCCAAGTCCTTTTCCTCAGGGCTGCTCTCAATCCATTCTCCGCCCAGCCTGTACTTGTGCTTGGGATTGCCCCGACCCACGTGCAGGACCTTGCACTTGGCCTTGTTGAATTCATGAGGTTCTCACAGGCCCATCTCTCCAGCCTGTCAAGGTCCCTCTGGATGGCATCCCTTCTCTCCAGCGTGTCCACAACACCACACAACTTGGTGTCATCTGCAAACTTGCTGAGCTTTCATTTGCCTAACTATTCAGGAGGGATACATTTGTTATATCTATGAAGTACATGGAATGTTTAAAAGCTTTTTGAGGCCGCATAGTTTATATCTATTATAACTTCCGCAGTTATCTTTTGCGAATCCAGAATTGTGCCAAAAGGCAGCTGATGATGATTACAAATGACTAGTTTCTTTCTGCTTGCTGTAAGGAAAGTGGTGTGCAGAATATTTTTGTTGAGAAGTGTCTTTTCCACACTAGGTTCAAGAATACGACTCTTACAAGAACAAAGATTGTCACCCGGCGGAATAGTTAGTGGAACTACTCGGTCTTCATCTGTCAATGAGTTCTTGGACTCTTCCGCCAAAAACTATCCAAGAGGCATCTCGGACAAACTTGCTGCACAACTGAGCTCTGTGGTAAGGAGCATTTACTCTAACCTTAGACAGAAATGATAAGTTGTAGCAAAAAATACATGTTAGTCAGACCTTTCTTTGCTCCAGAGAAAATTGGCTCTTCTTCTCTGGCTGTCTCTCATAGAACGGTTTGGGTTGGAAGAGTCCTTAAAGATCATCTAGTTCCAACTCCCCTGCCATGGACAGGGACTCCTTCCATTAGACCAGGGTGCGTAAAGTCTTATCCAACCTGGCCTTGAACACCTCCAGGGATGGGGCAACCACAACTTCTCTTTCATTTCAACAATATTTGCCAGTTCCCCAGGGTTAAAGGCAGATTGATGGGAACGAGGCAGATTAACTCAGAGGAGAAGGCAGGCTGTCTTTTCTGCTCACCAGAATAAATCTGTTGATCGTAATTGATTTCACCCAATTCTGTACTGGTGTAAGGGAGCTGAATATCATCTCTCGGTTCAACAAGATACAGAACGATCCTATTCAGAGGAAATAGATGCAGTTACTAGGACAATGAAGATTACTTATGAACGCCATCCAGCGGCAGTGGAAAAACTCATTCAGCTGAGCCTTACACAGTACGTGCTAGTGATAACTGCCAGAGATCAAATTTAAGCACATTTTTCACCTGCTTTTACTTTTTCAATCAGCAGATTCAACAATGTGCTTGGATTTCAAATAACCTTTTGCAACTTCAGCTTCATCTCTCTTTCTTTTTTTGCTTCTCCTTAATAGTCCTTTCCCTAAAGGCATTCATTCTCCTTGCAGGCAGTGGGGGAGTTTGGGCTATGAAGCAGATGTGTCTAATGCTCTTTTTATATGACAACGACAGGAGAAAGAGAAAAAGAAAAATGAAAGCTTTCAACTTTGTTCCATTCCAGGGTTATGATGTCATTATGATGAATGATGGCTTGGCAGGCATGACTTGCTGTACAATTTTGCCGCTCTCTCTGTATTTATAACTATCTCTGATGTTTAGAATTAGTGCTGTCGATGGAGCAAAGTAACAGGCTCCCCTGCCCCCGTTTCCCAGACTTTAAAAAAGGCTCTTTTAGGTGTGGAGAAAGGTATGGTTGTAAAATGGCTGACATAAATAGGGAACCTCCCATCTTTCAGTTTTCTGAAATGAAATCCCTCTTTTCGAACCCTGCAGAATTCAAAAAATGTCACAAGTGGTGTTCATTTTCATGTTTCTTTCGTCCAAAGGTTTGTTAGTTTTATATGAGAGAGAAGCCAGAATATTTTTTACCTTGGTGGCACTCTGCCATCACTCCTGCCCCAGCAATTTATTTTTCTCACTTTTTATTTCATCTTTTTTGATTTTTATTTTGAAAGTTTACATTTTGTCAAGTCAGGGAGAAGTGGTTTATGATGAAGGAGGCCATCATTTACCTTGGGTTTAACTTACTTAGCGGCCACAAAGCTCTCTTTCTTATTAGTCTCCTTGTTCATTGCTGGTAATACCTTTTTGTTATTTACTGCACTAAGTTTCCAATAAATTTTTCCATGCAGAGGAAGCTTTACAGCATCAGCTGAAGTGACAACATAGTAAAACGTTCAAGGTGAAACATAGGTGCCTCTTAGACCATATTTAAAAGGCAGAATATAAATACGTCTGTAGCCTTGAAGTAAAATTTTGTCTAAACTGTTACATTTGGGACTGCAAATTATTGTGGTGCTTTTGGCACCTCAGTAATAGTCTGTCACTGCATTAACCACATTCCACTCCCATCTTGTAGAACTGGAAAATAAAAAAATATGGAGAAATTAATGTGAGTTATCCACAAGCAAAATAAGAAGCAGGATCTGCTGCTCAGGGAAAGACAGTAGATATGATTCTTTGCAGCCTTATCCCTTGTGAGCATGCCAAGCTTGCACTAATTTTGTATGGCTGTAATTAACTATACAGTGTATGAACAGAAAGGTATCTATACTGACATTGACACGCTGAGCAACCTGATCTAGTTGGAGATATCCCTGTTCCTTGCAGGGGGGTTGGACTAGATGACCTTTGAAGGTCCCTTCCAGTCCTAACCATTCTATGATTCTATGATTCTATGCCATCCAGAGGGACCTGGACAGGCTGGAGAGGTGAGTGTGTGCAAACCTTGTGAAGTTCAACAAGGCCAAGTGCAAGGTCCTGCACATGAGTTGGGGCAATGCCAAGCACAAGTACAGGCTGGGCGGAGAATGGATTGAGAGCAGCCCTGAGGAAAAGGACTTGGGGGTGCTGGTGGATGAGAAGCTCAACATGAGCCGGCAATGTGCGCTGACAGCCCAGAAAGCCAACCGTGTCCTGGGCTGCATCCAGAGCAGCGTGGGCAGCAGGGCGAGGGAGGGGATTCCGCCCCTCTGCTCTGCTCTCCTGAGACCCTCCCCCTGCAGTGCTGCGTTCAGCTCTGGAGGCCCCAACACAAGAAGAACATGGAGCTGTTGGAGCAGGTCCAGAGGAGGCCACGAAGATGGTCCGAGGGCTGGAGAACCTCTGCTATGGAGACAGGCTGAGGGAGTTGGGGCTGTTCAGCCTGGAGAAGAGAAGGCTCTGGGGAGACCTTCCAGCAGCCTTCCAGTACTTAAAGGGGCTACAAGAAAGCTGGGGAGGGACTTTTTACAAGGATGTGTAGTGACAGGACACGGGGCAATGGCTTTAAACTGAAAGAGGGCAGATTTAGATTAGATCTAAGGGAGAAATTCTTCCCTCTGAGGATGGTGAGGCACTGGAACAGGTTGCCTAGAGAAGCTGTGGCTGCCCCATCCCTGGAAGTGTTCAAGGCCAGGTTGGATGGGGCTTTGAGCAACCTGGTGTGGTGGAGGGTGTCCCTGCCCATGGCAGGAACTGGATGATCTTGAAGGTCCCTTCCAACCCAAACCATTTTATGACTCTCTATCTGTAATCCACACAGAAAAAAAAAAGGGTCAGAATTATATCTTTACCAAAAGAAAGTAAATTAAAACACAAGCTCAGTGAGCATCTAAGCAGAGCCTTACTTAGCATAAATAGAGAAGGAAAGTGAAGGAATTCACAATAGTCATACTGTGAGCATTCAACAGATTAACTACAGTCCCTTTCATTGCTCATACCATGACAAACCGCCCCTGCTACAGACATGTCATTTAGCTGTTAAACTGATAACTATCAATGGCCATCAGTGATAACAAAGCAGGATTTAATAACTTTGCTCTGTAATTCATATCTTATTTTTTTAAGCATACTCTAGTGCTGCGTTTGTCTGACCTGAGAAATTGCGTTGTCCTACAGCACGTGTTAATTAACACGCCCTTGAAACTCGGGACTCTATTTTCCAGTCTGCTGAGATCATAATGTGTTCATTGTACAAAGTCATTTTAACTAACTGAAATTTGCAAAAGGTACTTCCTTCTTTGAGGGGGCAATATTGCTTGATATAGAGTTGGTAAGGCAGGTTTTCTGCATTGCTGGAGCAAGGACACAGTGTATTTAAGATGCAGCGGAGGCAAATTCTTCTGTATTCCGCCCCTTGCTGATGAAAAGAAGCTTAAGACAAAAGCATAGCTGGATTTATCCCTGCTTCAATGTAGTGGGAGGCTGGGATGCATCAAAAGTGGTTCTGTGCAGATATTCAAGGCCAGGTTGAATAGCCTGTCACCCCAATAGCCTGCTCAAGGAGCCTTGAGTAGCCTGGTCTAGTTGAGAGGCGTCCCTGCCCATGACAGGGAGGTTGGATTAGATGATCTCTAAGGTCCCTTCCAGCCTACGCCATTCTATGATTCTGTGATTCCTTCCTGTTACATCCTGGCACATTTTGACTAGTATGAAGAAATGGAGCTTCACTGGAAGTGAAGATCTTCATTTTTTTCAAAGCCAGCAAGACTTCACACCAAAATTTGGTTTGTGTAGGTTAGTAAATCATATTTAGCACCTTCTTCAGTTACAATATAGCTCTGCTATTTTCCCAGAATGTATAAGCGCATGCACTCTGGAGTCGTAGCAAAAGAGAGGTATATCACAGCCACTTAAGTTACCATATATCCTTTTAAGTTGCTGCATAAAATTGGTCATATTTCTTTATCAGGAAGAAGCTTCTCTCCAAAGACGTCGCTCTGCAGCACGCCAGGCTCTGTCAGGGAAGGCACCTGGTGCATACGTCCAGCTCTTTCGAAGGTAACGTAGAGTGGTTTCGGCCAAGTCCTTTGCAATAAAGTAAGAAATGCCTGTTCAAGGCTTCTTCTCCACTGCTCTTGAGGACGAATGATTAGGAACTGTCAGAGATTGCAAATCTCAGACAACTCTCCTTTCTATCACTTTTAAATCTAGCCCTACAAATATATTACATGCTGCCTGTCTTTTGGCTTGGGAGTGCAGCAGTCCCATAATGTGTACCAAAAATGTATGAGGCAGAGCCATCCACAAATAACTTGTCTGAAACTACAGAATTATTATATGCGTCTTCTCTGAGAGAGAAGAAAAGAATTGCTTTTCTGGCAGCTCACAGTCTCCAGCATGTTTTTTAGCACTGCTAGTAATTAGGGTTGGAAAGTCACAGGCTGTGCTCAACACAAGGCTGTTTGCTGTGGTACATCTTCTGTGGATATGTCTGTTTACAGTAGAATTTCTGAAAGCTGATTCCACTTCCTTATTTTTTTTTTTAAGAAAATTGATCCTATCTTGACTATCTCTCCTCCTCCTCCTCCTCTTTCCTCCTCCTCCTCTTTCCTCCTCCTCCTCTTTCCTCCTCCTCCTCTTTCCTCCTCCTCTTTCCTCCTCCTCTTTCCTCCTCCTCTTTCCTCCTCCTCTTTCCCCTCCTCCTCTTTCTCCTCCTCCTTTTTCTTCTTCTTCTTTTTCTTCTTCTTCTTTTTCTTCTTCTTTTTCTTCTTCTTCTTTTTCTTCTTCTTTTTCTTCTTTTTCTTTTTCTTCTTCTTTTTCTTTTTCTTCTTTTTCTTCTTTTTCTTCTTTTTCTTCTTTTTCTTCTTTTTCTTCTTTTTCTTCTTTTTCTTCTTTTTCTTCTTTTTCTTCTTCTTTTTCTTTTTCTTCTTTTTCTTCTTTTTCTTCTTTTTCTTCTTTTTCTTCTTTTTCTTCTTTTTCTTCTTTTTCTTCTTTTTCTTCTTTTTCTTCTTCTTTTTCTTCTTCTTCTTCTTTTTCTTCTTCTTCTTCATAGTCACAGCCCTGCAAAAATGGTGTTAAAAATCTATAAATCATAATGTACCTCCTTTGATTGATCTTTTGTGGCACTCTTGTTTTCCCCTGGTGTAAATCTTCCTAATCTGAATTCTTCTTTGTTTGCTTTTCCTACCTGCCATGAAAAATCTCACAGAGTTGCCATTTAAAGTATCTAAATCATCAACCATCAGAAGGAATAGGAAAATTCACATCTTTCAGTTCATTTCAGGCCTGAACAAATGCAGTCACCAATTGTACACACCAGATGTGTTGATGAAAATCATTCTAATGACAAAGTCTGGACATTGACTCTTGAAAGAAAGAAAGAAAGAAAGAAAAGGAAACAAAGAAAGAAAAAAACAAAGAAAGAAAGAAAGAACCTGCTGAATTAAACTGTCTCTAGAAAACCAATGGCAGAAGCTTAAAGACAGAGATGCATAATTATCATGCATTTTCCAAATATTTACTTGAAGTTTTTTTTAAGCAGCTGATTTATTCATTTTAAATTATGTTGAAATGAGAAAGAAAAATGGAAATCAGTGTTTTCTTTTACTAGATGTTTTGGGTTTGATTTAGTGTTGCAGTGTGAACTGTTCCTCTGAGTCTGCTTTAGTTTGTTGCTCTTCGCTCCCCTTATTCCACAATACTTATTTGCTGGAAGCTGATTTTGGAATTAGGTATCAGACTGCTTTGGCAGAGCTGTCAGGCAAGTGAGAGAAAATCCTGTCACCCCCAATCAGCATTTGCAATTACCAAGCCTCAAGGGATAGATGCGCTCAGCAGAATTGGCGGCAGGAGTAGACAACACCCCGTTCCATGCAAGAGGTTAAGTCAAGAGGGGCCATAAATATGAGTGCTGTAAAATGGTTGAAATTCTGAGAGAGAATCTGAATCCTGAAATGTGGCAATCAGATAATGGAGAACCCAGTAGGTCACGTAGTCCGGTCCAGCGGCAAGTGTATGGCTGGAAGAGGCCAGTAAGGTGTGACTGAGGGTGTGGAGACTTTCCGTTCCACAATATGTGACTCAAACTGCCCAGTAGTGCTAACTGTGACTCTGCTGATCCATGCTGGAACAGGTTGCCCAGAGAAGTTGTGGCTTCCCCATCCCTGGAAGTGTTCAAGGCCAGGTTGGATGGGGCTTTGAGCAACCTAGTGTATCATAGAATCATCGAATTGTCTGGTTGGAAGAGACCTTCAAGGTCATTGAGTCCAACCATTCACCCTGCACTGTCAGGGTCCCTAAACCATGTTGCTTAACACCAAATCTACAAGGTTTTTGAACACCTCCAGAGATGGGGACTCCACCACCTCCCTGGGCAGCCTGTTCTAATACTTCACAACCCTCTCTGGAAAGAAATTCTTCCTGGTATCCAACCTAAATTTCCCCTGGTGCAACCCGAGGCCATTCCCTCTCGTCCTGTCATTCATAACGTGGGAGAAGAGACCAACCCCCGAGAAACTTCCTTTCAGGTAATTGTAGTGTAGTGGAGGGTGTCCCTGCCCATGGCAGGGGGGTTGGAACTGGATGATCTGTAAGGTCCCTTCCAACCCAAACCGTTCTGATTCTATTGAGCATGTTTGTTTATACAGAATTGAATCAAGTTTTAAATACCCATAAGAGAGAGACTTTCACCTTGGAAAACCTCACCTAGGGTTTGATGGATCTTGCTTTCAGTATATAACTGTGGACCTCAGTCATGAGTAGCTTAAAAGGTTATTGCATGTCATCTTAGCTGCGGTAACCGTCTTCGTGCACACTCTTAGCCTGTAGGAAATGTAAGGTGATGTGGCTGTCTTTAGCTTTTATCAAGGGCTAACCAAGGAATTTGTACACATTGTGCAACTGAGATGACACAAGGCAATTCATTATGTCATCATTCGTAGTAATATTAGCAGCAAAGTCCAAATAATTTTGGAGTAGTTAGACCGTTACCTTGGTTTATACCTTTCCATGGTTCTTAAGCTATATATAGTCATGTCTTTTCATCTTTCTCTGTAAGTCTATGCTTAGCAAATTCAGTAGGATTACTCTAAGTATCTCTAATTTGTTAATTAACTCTCAAAATTGATCAGTCCAGAGTATTTCAAGTGTCCCTACAACAAGTGCTGGCAAAGACGACACTGTCGCCTGCACCTGAGGCACGATACTTCATTGTCTCTGCGTATGTTCCTCAAAAATTACACCGATTTTTTTTGTGCAGCCAGTACTGCATTAGATATTTGGGTTTGACGTCTCGTCTTATTGTTATGTCTAGATCCATCTCGGCTTTAGTGCTTCCCGGATTTCTCTCTCCGATGGAATATCCATATTTTAAATTATTTTCTTTCAAGCTGTATTTTATTTGGAGGGTTTTATTTCTCTTTTTACTTGGCTACATAAGTAGGATAAGTCATGCCTGTTTAAAATCCACTTTAAAAAAAACTCCTGCTGCCTATTCTTGCTTTAATCCTATCAGCTTTGTTCTGATGAATTCTAATTTAGAACATGATACACCTTTATTTTCATTGTCAGTAGTGTGTAAATGTGCTTCATCCACTTAATCAGTCTGCTGTTTATGTAAAAATATTATTTCTTTCGCTGCAAATGCATCCAGCCTTACACAGGGTTTTAGCTGATGAATCTTGATGGAGTAAGCTTACTGCCGTAGCACTCCTCGCTGGGGAATACTGCTGCTCTAGAGGAGCTGAGACAGAAGAATATGCACCCTTGCTTCATTTATTCTGATGTAAAGTCTCATTTTTACCCTGAACTTCCAGTGGAGTTTGAATTGACTGAAGGTGTGGACTTGTGGCTGGGAGAAGCAAGTGTGCATTTTGTTCTGTCTGTTCTACCCCTGGGGAGATGACGTCTTGGAGCAAAGTGGGGCAGACAGAGAGAAGGAAGTTCGTTAAAGCAGATTAATTTCAGATTGTAATGGGAAATATAAGAGGAAGGTCCATGCTTGCCATGCTGGATGGATTGGGTGTAGAATGAAAATTTGTTCTGAGGGCATTGCCAGTAACACAAAGCAAACTAAGACAAGTACTTAAAAAAGTGGCTGGTTAAAATATAAAAAGAACAAATTTGGGGAATATAAACATAATCAATTACCTACATTTTTAGCACACAGAAATACCAATATGATTAGCTAGAAGTTTCTAACATGTCTTGCTTGAAGTGTTTTTTAGCTGTTGGACTAAATTTTAGTTGTATAAACTATACGAGTAGCTCCATTAAAGCAGCGTTTTGTTTGAGGATTTGTATCCTGATTTCTGTGTTTGAAAGGGCTATCAGTGCAAAGTAGACTTTTTTGTGTGCAGACGTTTTTTGTCATGCAATGAGGAAGAATTCAGTAACTTCAGTATTTATTCAGTGGCAGTGCTGGCTCGTACACACCTGCCCCTTCCTTTTCTTTCACTGCCCACTCAGATAAGGGTATGGATCAGGTTTTTCTGAGCAAAAAGGTATTTTTTTTCAGCCAGATTGATTTCCCTCACTCTTTGAAGAGCCACTTGTGCTGGCATCATGCTGAGAGAGGAGTAGAAGTGTAAATAGGTGGCTGTGGACCAGAAATTGTAGAGGGCAGAGGCAGCTCAGTTTGCTTTTGAGCAGCACTGCTGCAGAGAACGAGAACCCTACTTCAGTTAGGAGTGAATCTAAATTCTGTGGAATATCTGAAACTGATGCCAAAAATGATACAGGCAAAAAAATTCCGAAGGTACTAGGTGTTTTGAATTTCTTGTGTATCTGTAAATAGTAAAAGAGCCTTTAATGCTTTATCTCATCGTTACACATTTTAATCCAAACTGAAATATATTGCTCAGTTTTCCTGAGTATGTGTTAGAAAATTTTAAAAGTGGTGTCACACAAGAATCTAACCTATTTTATTTATAGCAGCCCTGCAGGGTTATCTACATAAATTTAGCTTCTTAAATCCAAATTACTGAAAACCTGGCCTCTTTATTTTTTGCCTGTGGCTGTGTGCAGGTGTAATTAAAGTCGTTTTGATGTCTCGTTGCCTAATATAATGTAGGGGCAACGTTTGGTGGTTTGCTCTGAATAATTTCACCAGTTGTCTGTGTGTTTGAGGGTAATAAATAAGGGGTTGGGTTGAAGTCTCACTCAGATCAGGCCTTTAGCTAGTGATTAACTTCTTGATTTCGTCTCAATGTTGCTGAAAGAACTGGAGTAAGCAAGAGCAGGCATCACCGTGAAGAGAATTTATAACATGCAATCTTGCTTTTCTTAGTTGGAAGAAATTCGTACACTTTATAGTCTCAATGAAGCTTCTTGCCAGAACTGAGAAGAGAGAAGGTCCATGGTCTATCTGTGGTAGAGACGCTCTCTTCAGGTTGGATTTACTTGCTGTGAGCATCAGACATGCATGCATGTGGTTGCCTGCGTGTCTTACAGACCCTCTTGTCTAGTCGACCTCTGACTTCAAAGTAATTTTGCTTTTCAGTTTTATTTCTGTGCCCCTCTCAATGACGAAACTTGGACATTGTTCTGAACCACATGGATGTGCCTTTTCACAGGGTGCTGTTTAACTTATCCAGCCTGTTTTCCTTCTCTATTTTTTTTCAACTGAGGCATCCTGGTGCAATTTGAATTACACTCCGAGACTAAACACCTATAACAACGGTACAAAACTGGAGGGGCAAAGTAGAGAAGGCATTTAGTGCAGAGATAGAAGGTGAAAAATCATCCCTATCACACCTTTAAAAATGCACATTTTTTCTCAGCTGTCAAGCAGAGATAGAAGGTGAAAAATCATCCCTATCCCACCTTTAAAAATGCACATTTTTTCTTAGCTGTCAGGTATGTTGTTTTAGGTTCATTTATCAACTGAGACATATTTTCTGAGAGTGGGTCGCAGGTTCTGAATCCAAACTTTTGCTCCAGGAAGCAGAGTTCATTTTCCTCTGGTGACCCAGTCCTTAGAGGGGTGGCCTTGCATCCAGCCTTCAGATTTCTCCTTTGATGGTGGACGAGAAGCTCAGTATGAGCCGGCAATGTGCTCTTGCGGCCCAGAAGGCCAACTGTGTCCTGGGCTGCATCAAGAGGAGCGTGGCCAGCAGGTCGAGGGAGGTGATTCTCCCCCTCTACTCTGCCCTCGTGAGACCTCACTTGGAGTATTGCGTCCAGTTCTGGAGTCCCCAACATAAGAAGGACATGGACCAGTTGGAGAGGGTCCAGAGGAGGGCCATGAAGATGATAAGAGGGCTGGAGCACCTTTCCTATGAGGACAGGCTGAAAGAGTTGGGGCTGTTCAGCCTGGAGAAGAGGAGGCTCCGGGGTGACCTTATAGCGGTCTTCCAGTACCTCAAGGGGGCCTACAGGAAAGATGGGGAGAGGCTGTTCAGGAGGGCCTGTTGTGATAGGACAAGGGGTAATGGTTTTAAAATAGAGGGAGGTAGATTCAGGTTGGATATTAGGAAAAAATTTTTTACCATGAGAGTTGTAGAACACTGGAACAGGTTGTCCAGAGAGGTGGTGGATGCTCCATCCCTGGAGACGTTCAAGGCCAGGTTGGATGAGGCCCTGAGCAACCTGATCTAGTTGGAGATATCCCTATTCCTTGCAGGGGGGTTGGACTAGATGACCTTTGAAGGTCCCTTCCAGCCCTAACGATTCTATGATTCTATGATTCTATGATTGATTCTTGTAACCTCCATTGTCAGGCTGTGTATTTCTGTGCTATTTATTGAACAGAGTTCTTTGCTGAGAGATTTTCTTTTATTAGTCGGGTGGGTTTTTTTATTATTATTTCCATAATGTGGATTTACAAGAAATTATTGCTGAGAGCGCTCAGCTCTGGAGTCAATTAATGAATCAGGCCCTTTCTCCTATGTCATTGTTTCAGATTTTGATCTGAGCCGATAATGAACAAACACCATTACTGGTTGACTGACAGTGGAACAATAACAGCTTGAGGCCTCACACTAGAGAAGCTTTATTTATAGGTTTTAATAAGAAAAAGAAACTAAAGAAAGGAGAATTTAAAGATGAAGAGTAGAAAAACCTTGCTTGCAATGCACTGTGTATTGGGCTAGGGACTCGTTTCTGAGGAGGAGTGGGGAAAGCCTCATCACTGAAGCACTGGAAAACCCACCAGTGGAGGAACTTGCTTTGGCAAGATGAGGAGGCACGAGAAGATCGTTTGAGATTCCAGCCTCTGTTTCCTGTGGGAAAGTTTCCTAGGGAAACTAGAAACACATCGTTTCTAGAGTTATAGAGGTTCATTTTCCTTAAAAATAAACAGATTCCTTCAGAGTTCAGTTGAGGTATGTTGGTGGAAGGGCTCTGGTACAAGGCTTAGATGTATGGAATCTTTCAAGAGTTATAATTAAGTTCAGCATCTCATTAAAGCCTTCTCATGTTTGGCAGTCTTCAGTGCTGCATCTCTTTGGTTTTGGCTCTGCGGTTTCGTTCGAGTTTATAAATGAAGCGGTGTCAATACTGCAGTTACCAGAAATGCTTTTTTTTGGGTTTCATGAATGGCAGTGAAGATGAAACTTCTCACCTTGTGAGATAGTCACAAGGACTGGGATTAATCTCACCCGATTTTGGGTGTCTTCGATAAAAATGCCTCTATCTGAACGAGTTGCCATACGCTGCTCTGTCTCAGAGAGTGATTCATCCAACCTGCTTTAGATATCTACTTAAGCCTGAGTTCATTCATACTGTAGCTGTGGCTGTTCCTCTCTATTGGCTACAACAGAGCCTGGATTGCTATCTCCAACTCCTTATTGCTGCTTCTGTCCCACTGGAGATAACGCTCTCCTCCATTTGAACAGGTCTTGTGGACTCACTAAGCATTAATTATACTATCACAGTCTATAAATGCATGTAACAAGCACTTAATCTTCTTTTTGTATCATTTTAGGGACCTGGCAGTCACTCCTGCACCGAGCAGCTCCCACCAGCAGTTACTGGAACCAACACCACATGCTTCACTGCTCTCAGATGGAAGGAGTGTCACCCAAGACCAGAGCTTCCCCCTGGCTAACCCAGAGAGCCGGTGAGTTCAGCTTCTGAGACAGCAGATTCATCGCTGGGTGGAATGAAGGTTAATGCTGCAATGTGCAAGATCTAAAACCATTTCCCAAGCTAATGCACTTGTCTCATCTGTTACATCAACAGCCTTATTAAATGTGTGTCACTGCAGCATAAAACAAAGTTCTTGTCATTCACGGGAATGGTTTCCTTTAGTCACCGTAATTCACAACACAGAAAGGGAATTTCAAGAGGGTGTTTGAAGGGAAAAGGATGCTGAAAGGAACTTGATCTAGGTGTAGAAAAAACAGAACTTGAGTGATAAATTTATTTTTTTTTTTACAAACTTAACAGATATTGCTATCAGAATTATTTCTTCTCTCTTTAGAGGATTACCATAGTTACTATTGAATATGATTTGGGAGGCTCTAGGTGATACCATGATCTTCAAATTCATATCTCATCCACGATAACAGAAGACCCCATCAGGATACTGAGCTCTGTAGTGCCTTTACCTTCTCTTACTATCTCAGCCACTGCTGCTATGCTTCATATCTCGTCCGGCGTCTCTGCTCATGAGTGGTGACCACCATCATTTGTATGTACCACAGCTAAAACAGGCTCTGAGGTATGGGAGGGAGACAACTCCTATCTCATTTAAAGCTTGTGGAGAGGGGAGGATAGAAGATTTGAAGAGGCTCCATCTTCAGTGTCTTTTAGACCTTCGGCTACGAAGCAGGCTGTGTTTTCCTGACTTGCTCTGCGGGTCCGCGTTGCCTCTTACAAGATCACAGAATCACAGAAGGTTAGGGAATGGAAGGGACCTCAAAGGATCATCTAGTCCAGTCCCCCTGCTGGAGCGGGACCAGTGACTGTGGCTGACTCTAATGGTCCTGTTCCATAAGTACATCTGAGCTCTGGCTGCCAACAAGCCTGTCTGCTGTTGTGGCAAGTGACATTGTGGCCTTTCTACGCAGTATCCTGGATAAACTTTTTTTTCCTCCCCTCTTCCAACCATCTGCTGTCATCTCATGCCCAGATGGGACACACAGAAGCAGCCGGATGCCACACAGCATGACCTGGTGAAGCGTGACACGCCAGATGTCCATCCACACTAGGAGATAGGTGTGTGCTGTAGCCATCCTCTGCTCACTCTTCGGAGCCTATCACAAAGCTCAGCGTGAACCTCAAATTTAGAATCATAGAATCATAGAATCATAGAATGGTTTGGGTTGGAAGGGACCTTAAAGATCATCTAGTTCCAACCCCCCTGCCATGGGCAGGGACACCCTCCACTACACCAGGTTTCCCAAAGCCTCGTCCAACCTGGCCTTGAACACCTCCAGTGATGGGGCAGCCACAATTTCTCTGGGCAACCTGGTCCAGTGCCTCACCACCCTCAGAATGAGCTGTTGTCTGTGCCCTATGGCTGTTGGTAAACTTGAATTTGGTTGTGGGTTCAATCCCACATCTGATATCTTGTTCTCATTCCTTACAAACGAAGATACTTTTCCTGCTGTATTTAAACATACCGTACTATGTATTTTTCACCTATTTTTCACGTCTTTTAAAAATCCCTGTTAAATAACCTCCTAAACACACGTTAGGCAGCTTTTCACCTTTAGTCAGCCCGATGAGAAATGCTGAGCATCTTTATAAGATTTCAACCCATTCACTTTATTCCTCGTCTGGTAAGCAGAGTTCTTTGCTAAACTTGCTGTCGAAAAAAATCTCAGTGTTCCTTTTATATCCTGGAGAGACTGCCAGCTCCCTCCAGGTGATGTACTACCTGCCACTGTAATTACAAGCAGTTAATTAGCGTGCTGTAAAAAGGTTGACACCGTAGGCCTCTGCAGATTCATTTGTCCTGAGTATTTGTGCCACGGTGGAGCGTGCTGAAGGGGAACAGAGTGAGCCTGTGGGACAAACCGAGTGCGTAATAGGGTGCAGAGGGATTATGCATCATCTGTCCTTACCAGTAAGAGGCAAGACCTATAACTCAAAAGGAGTGTGAAGCTGTGATGAGTTGTAAAGGTCTTACCCTTCGCATATGGGAATAAATATGTCTTTCCACTCCGCCACATTTTGGTGTTTTGACTTTAGCAGTGTTTTCGTTTAGCACTGTTAATAACACAGCGGGGAAACAACTGCGAGGAGAGAAAAAGCAAACTGCTAATCTGGTTCATTTTCTATGCATGGCCTACAGCAAAATCATATAGAGTCGTGTTGTCAAATCCTTTTGCAAGGGAAATATGGAAAGTTTGGAAGAAATTTGCTTATAGACGTCTGAAGTATTGTAGTAAAGCCTGTAGTGATTTTGGTTGAATATTGAGGTGGTTTAATATTTTTTTTTCTTTGTCTCCGATTTTATGCTTTCAACCTTTGGAATGGAAGAAAGAGTAAACTAAAAAAAGTCGTCAAGGGGTAAGAGCATGAACTCACTGACCTCCAGGCACAGCTAGTGAAGAAATACTGTTTTCCAAGACCAGGGACTGCAGATTAGTCTGATATCTCACTGGGCAATGCTGTGTCCAGGTCTCAAACGTTTTGCATTATTTCTCAAATCTTAAATAGTTTTTATTTAAGCTTAAGCTGTGGTACAAACAGCATCATTGTTCTTCTGGTCACTAATACATGGTGGATTCAAGTCCTGCAGTTGTTCTGTTACTTCTGGTCTACAAGTGAAATAGATGATCCTGGTCACGTTTTCTCAAGAGTGACAATTAAAGGGTT